ACAAAAACATTCAAACCCATTATAAACGAGGCATTTGTTTGTTCCAGTGGGGGCATACTTACGGATTATAATGACTTATACTGTCTTTTCACGCATTGCATTGCATCGCGCCGCATAAACATAAAACCATGTCTGCATTTGTGATCGGAGAAATGACAAACAACAAACGCTACTCTACACTGCTCAAAACTCACGTTTGAATCATCAGTGGCAAATTCTTTAAATATGAAAACGTACTTACAGTCTGTGAGTCAGAACAGCCGGCATTGTAGTCTACTCTCCCAGGAAACAGTTCTCCATTAAATGCGCTGCACACATCTGAATATTTGGGTTGAACTGTTCTGGAACAGTGTTGTAAATACAACTTAACCACTGGTTTCTAGTGGTGTCCTCTTTTGGAAGAACAAACAAAGTAATTTTGCTTTCACAACGAAGCACACAGCGTCTTTACAACATGGCGGCGACGGTGGCAGCAACAATAAAGTTACTCTTTCTTTCTTTGCGTGAACATTTGGGCGGCGTTATGCAAATCTTCCCACATCGTGACGTAGACATATGGGGGCGTGTTTAAACGAGGCATTTTAGGAGGGCGTGGACCAGTCTTAACTTTTATAAAGAATATCTCTTTGGGTTTGAGACTTTAGTCTTTGCAACTTCAGGGATCTTATCTATTCACGAACAGCTTGTAACACTCCAAAGAGAAAGGAAAATTTGAAATCGCATCATATGACCCCTTTAAACTATAAAAGCCCAAACAAAAACAACACATATACTAATACATTTCCTCATATAAATGAATGTTATGACTTATTGCATTCTTGGGATGACTAAAAGCCATGGCTGAGATTTTGGGTCAGCACTTACAATGTGAGAAAACATCAGCTTGGATCTGTGAGGCTGTGTGCTCATGTTCTGCTGCCTCCCTTGAGATTTCCATATGTTTGCGGTGTCGTTTCCTGCCCACGGTTCTGCCTTCTATCCTCATGTGTGACATTCAAGTTCACAAGGATCTCAGAGAAACAACACTCTTCACACCAGAGAGCCCTGCAACTGCCATCACATTCACACTCTCTGATCCACACAGAAACGGACAAATCCTCAGGGACGGCCTGTTTTCTCTCTTTCCTCAACACTTCAGCTCTCTCTCTCTCTCTGTTCTCTGTAGCTCAGCATGGTAGCACAGTCGAGTCTCCGAGGCTTTGATTTGATAATTATTTACATTATTTACACTTAATTTCTTCCCAAAATGATATATACTGAGATAGCTAGTGTCCACAGTAATGGGAAATATTCCAGAGGCACTTGCATTTATGCTGTCATAAATAAAAACAAAGTCTAAAGACTTTTAAGAGCTGGTTGGGTCATAATCGTGCGCTGGTTAATAGGTAAGTCAGGCAATGTGAAGTTACCTACATTCCTTTTGACAACAAATCTTCCTGTCATATAAGGAATGGCAGAGGTCTGGTGGATGCTGGTGCCCTGCTTTGTTGGCCAACCTGACAGACATTATTAAGTCATAAACAATGCAGTATTCTGTATTCCATGGTAGAAACTTTTCTAGATGGTTCTAGAATAATTTTGAATAAGAAAACGAGAACGATATGTGTGGGGCATTGTTTTCAATTATGAGTAGGAGGAAGAAAGATCAGCAAAAATCTTTTGTAAAAGAGGGAAAATAATCAGTTAATAATTGATAGTTTTGATGAATAATAAATCACTAACACAGATGCATTCATGCTGCAGAAAAACAGAACAGACCCTTCTTGAGTTCATTCAGCAAACAGAAAGGGGGAAAGGACCAGGCCTTTCCTCTCAGCTCACCTCATCTCTCCTCTTCTATAATTCAGTGACCTTGAGATATTTCTTCCCCTGAGCTCACCACTTTTAGCTCTCATGCCAACGAAAAGCAAGGGCTCCCTTCGGAATAAGAAGTAAACTGACGGTACAAGTCCCCGGGAGTGGCATGTGCTCGCTGACATTGCAGGTGAGGGTCGGCGATTAATTCTTTAACAGCTCAGTGACACAAACAAACTTTGAGATACATGGTCTTTATGTTGTGATAATGCTTACCAGTTCAATGAAGAAGTTAATATTTAGTAACTTACTATTTAGGCACAATACTGACAGTTATGTTGTGTGTATTTGCTTGAAAAATATATAATGAATCCAAAAGCAGGACTGGCTGAGTTGCGCATTTCAGAGCAACCAACAGTTTAGTTCCTGAAAGGATCTGTGTTTTAGAAAAAAAATTGGTTGATTGAATGATTCAATGACTCACTAATAAGTTACTTGTTTTGTTCCTGAGTGAATTATTGTCTGTGTCATAAAGTTTGGGTTGCTGACTTGTTGCTGTCTTTGCAGACAGCATTTGTGCATGAAGGAACCTCACAAAACTGATTTTTGGACAGATTTCTGGGGCGGCATGATTTACAACAAAACAGAGTGAGTTTAAGTGATAAGCAAGTGAATATTTAATTATTGCAATAGTCATTTCTCGTTAGACATACTATCAAAAGTGGAAAAGGTTTGTCAAAAATATATATTTACCATAACCATAATGGTACGGAATGCACAGGATTGTGGGATATCAAAGTGAAGGATACATTTATGCTGCCTCAAAAATCAATCAGATGAAGGTATTTCAGGAGACAGTAAGTCTATTAAGCTAATGTTGGATTCAGACATGCCTTGATGTCTAATGCATCCTCTGAAGGCAGCATTTTTCAGCTTTCGGATGCAGCCAGTGTTTTTGAATGAATTGGTTGAGTGAATAATTCAATGACTTGCTCACTTTTCTGTCATTAACTGAATCAGTTGAGTGAATGATTTAATGACTCTCTCATAAGTCACTTGGATTGTTCCTGAATAAATCTGTTGAGTGAGTGATTCAATGGCCTCACTTATAAGTCACCTGGTTAATTCCTGAATGAATTAGTGTCCTAGAAAACTTCAGCTGAGAGAATGATTCTTTGACTCACTCATTAGTCACTTGTTTTGTTCCTGAATTCATCTTTTTTTCAGAATGAATCAGAGGACTCATTTGTTGATCGATTCATATAGCCAGTCACTTGTCACCAACAACTGGTGTATCAATGTAGAATCCCCACCACTAATGCACAGACTGACAGTCTGTCTTGAACGTGCAATCACAGACAAGTGGAGTGATACAAATAGTGAAAAGTCCCAGTGCTGTCAAATGCATATTAGATTTATAACAGGCTCATACAATATATGATTAACATTATTTCATTTTGAAAGATTCAAGGTATAGTGGAAATGTATATGTGTGTGTGTGTGCTGAAAAGCACACTGGAAAGTATGGGGAGGTTCAGATTTGCTCTAACAGATAAATTCCTGCTGCCTGTCTATTTTATACATTTAAACCATTTGCATTATCCATTTATTTAATAAGCAGTCTCTGCTCTTTAGTTTTTAATACACATTACTGCTATTTTTGCTGCTCACCATGCCTTGCCAATGCAGCTCAGCATCCTCCCAACCCCAACATCATCCCACTGTGGGGGACTCGGCAGACAGGGATGGACTCTCAAGCGGGTGAAACAACATGCCTGGCAGGCAATGCCTGTTCACTGTCACCTGTCAGCTGTGTAGTGTGTACTGCTGTGCGGGTGGCTTGCAGTGTGTGTCAGCCATGGAAATGAGTTTGGCATGCCACACGTCTGACAAATTGGGGCCCCCTGGCCCCTGATGCCTGGCACGAGACAGAGTGGCCCAGTGGGCATTAGTCTGTGGTTGACAACACCCCACCTAGCTGACCTTTTCCATAACTGACCCCAAGCTGCCACCAATCAGCTTCCAGCTCCAGTAAGCTGGTAAACAATGTGTCTCTCATCAAGCTAAAAACACACGGCAAGATCAATCCAACACATAAATTTCTGCAATTGAAATTAATTTTGATTTCTCATGAGGACAATACAATTAGGATTGGGTATACAGCCATTAGTCATTAAACAAGATCAGGAATATATTGCAAATTTTGTAAAAAAAAAATATAGTGTTTTTATGTGACATGTTAGGTTGTAAAATGTTGAAGTCACAGATCAGAAATTATTTTCATGTTTACTTCGACATTGTTTAAGCAGGTTTGTTATTTTAAACTAAAACTGATGAAAATCATCTTCCGTATTTGAAATACAGGTGAAATAATAAAAAAATTTAAAATAAATACTAGATGAAAAACTGAAACATAAAAAACTAAAACTAGAAGTTAGAAGTTAAAGTAAAAATTATACAGTGAAGAAATACAATTTCTACTAAAACTGCAATAAAATAATATATATAGCGATATAGAAATATAAAAAGACAAATACAAATGACAAAAGCACATAACAAAATTACTGAAACTTAATCTAAAAAGAAAGATTAATATATGTATGTGTATATATATATATATATATATATATATATATGTATATATATACATATATACATACATACATATATAAATATATATACATACATATATAAATGCTAATTCAAACTATTAATAAATACTATTACAGTATATAAATAATACTTAAATGGCACTGTTCCCTTGACATAATAAACAAATTTAAATAATTTATATCAAGCTAAAGTGTGTTAGAATATTTTGTGTATTTTGTTTATGCATGTTCATTTGTCCATTTTTTAATTATTGTACATACACTATATATATATATATATATAAAATTTTTATTTATTTATTTCACTGGAAGGTAAACTGATTATATTTTTAGTTCCGATTATTTCAAGCATATCTCTATAGTATTTATTTATTTAGGGACATATTCTTTATACCAATTGTTAATATTTGCTTATTTGCGTATAGCCTACCGCTGTATATTTTTGCGTAAATTTGGTAGCTTCCGTAATATTGTCAGAATTAACAAACGGAAAGCATCTGAGCAATTTGAACAATAATGCACTTGAGGAGACTGAATCCCCCTGTAAATACATTGGTCTCGTACATTGCTCTGTGGCCTGTCACGTGGTGCGGATGTCTTTCGCTTTTCCTCTCTCTGCAGGCTAAACATGGCTGCGCTCTTAAGATCAGCCCGGCCCCTTAAATGTTCACCGGCTGCATTGCTTCAGGTCTTCGGAAACAGCAGACATGTATCGGCAGCTAGTCGTCTTTACAGCGAAGCGGTCGGGACTACTCGTGCAGGGTTATGTGTACAGACAGTCCCGGGACGCTTAAATGTAAACAGGTATAACGCAGCATGACTCTGTGCCATGCGTGTGTAGATCATGCAGTTGTCATTGAGAGGTGATCACGCCTATAACAATACTGTACGGGTGTAAAACTTTGATCATGTGCTGTATGCAGGTTATTTAAGCAAATTTCAACGAACAGGCCTAAATCTAAATCATCTAACGACGTTATATGAGAGAGACGTGCATTAGCTCATAACCTGCAGTATGTGTGACCCATGAACATCACTGCAGAATATATGAATGTAACCATTACACCTTTTCTTTCAGCTTCTTTGTAATGCTTATAACATTTTTCAGTCAGATTATATTTCAATCTGCTTTTTTGGAAACGAAGTAGTATTAAAACCTTAATTTAAATACATAACCATTAATCCATGAACTAAACCATTGACTAAAAAGCCTATGATGAAAATAAATGTGTCCATATAATACAATAGTGTTTTGTTGTGTGTAGTTGTCTTAGGCTAATACTAGTCTTCCAGTAAGCTGTATGCTAACATGTGTCAAAGGTCAACATGCCAAGGTCGTTTTGAGCCGTCTCAAAATACTGCACATCATATTGGCCAACGTTTAGTCTGTTTGTTTGTTTCTTGCTTGTTGGTTTCTCAATGTTTTCCTCATATTCTTCATATTCTATGTGGTGGCTAGTTCACAGCAGGGACAGAAATGTGCTTTTTCATTAAGTGGTGATACTTGCCCCCCTTAAATTAATCCCCAGAAGCATTTTTACTATTTATTTTACTTTTTTTAACTAAAATATGTGTCATAATTTCAAATTCTTGTATTTAATCAATACATTTTTCTATAATAAAGCACTGTAGGACTGTCTGTTACAAATCAAATGAAACCGTTTCAACAAAATCCATCTTTGCACTGCAGAGGAAACACAGAATCTGTATTTGAAGTGGCTTTTATGTACATTTAGACTATTTAATGCTGCTCGGAGGGAACAAATGTATTCACACTGTAATTACAGTTGTTTAAATAATACTATGACATTGAGATTGTTTCAAAATAAAAAAAAATGTAATAAAATGAAACATTTTTAAATATAAAACTACAACCGAGAGGTTGGAGGAAAGTCACTGAATCATTCATTCAAATTATTTGTTTCAAATCATTCAGGAACAAAGCAAGTGACTGTCTTTATGAAGTGACTGTCATTATGATGCTCAACAGTTCCTCTGAGGCTTTGTTTGCTAATTTTTTTTTTTTGGGGGGGGGGCATTTTAACTGCATTCTAAATGGTAAAGTGTTACATCGTCTAAGATAATATCATAATTGTTTTAATAATGTGTGAGATGACACTCTCAGGGTGTGTTTTTGTTTGGCTGTGAGTGACACACTTGATAATGTCATCTCACACATTATTAAAACAATTGTCATATTATCTTAGACGATACTGTAACACTTTATTTTAAGGAGCAATTCTCACTATTAACTAGTTGCTTATTAGCATGCATATTACTAGCTTATTGGCTGTTTATTAGTACTTGCGTATAAAGCACAAATTAATACCTTATTCTGCATGACCATATTTTTGATCCCTTAGTCCTACTCCATGTTAATAAGCAACAAATTAGGAGTCAATTGAGGCAAAAGTTGTAGTTAATAGTTATTTAATAGTGAGAGTTGGTCCCTAAAGTGTGACCAAAAATATATATGCAATAACCCATACTTATGCATGAAACATGGGCACGATTTAATCTTTGATTTGATCAGTTTTTGTAAATGAGGCCTGTTAATTTCGTAATTGGTTTTGTAGTGACCACCTTCATTTTTTGTGTTGCCATGCATGTGGATTGATTGTATACACTTTTGTTTTTGCAGTTTGTCCTCATACAGATTGACCCTGCCCTGTGTGAGCTGTCGTCAGTATGGTGTTGTCCCGGAGCAGAGGGGGCTGGTGAAGGATGAGCCCAGTGTGGCGGTCCGTTCCAAGCAGGCTCAGCAGTTTGACTGGGCTCTTGTCAAACTAGACAGCTCAGTCCGAAGGACAGGCAGGGTCACCAAAACACTGCTGCTGCGTATCTTCCATGATATTTGCAGAACAGGTACTTGTCTGTTTGTTTAAAGATCTTTCTTGCATCCATATCCATAAATAAATCTCATGCATGTCATCTCATTTCTGAAATCACTTCCGATAGGATATCCAAGTGGAAATCAAGCCCTGTTGTTGCTGAGAAGCTGTGGCTCTCTGCTTCCTGAGGTTCCCTTGGCTGAGCGCGTAGAGCTGTCACAACAGATCTGGGACAAGCTTCAAGAACTGGGTATGTGTAGAGACAATTGAACAGTTGCTCGTTGTACTTCTAAATCTGGTTTTAACTCTCATATTGCTGTTCGCTACAGGCACCACCTATGATGTAAGCCATTACAATGCCCTGCTTAAGACGTACCTGCAGAATGAGTTCAGATTCTCTCCAACCGACTTCCTTGCTAAAATGGAATCTGCTAATGTTCAGCCAAACAGGGTGAGTATAATTGTAATTGAAGGTGGAGTAAACGATATATATATACATTGCATAAAAAAATGCTGAAATTAAATGAAACATTCACTACAAAAATCTATTGATACAGCTTTAGATTGTAAGACGTTGCAACAAACAATGATGCTATATAGATATATTGTCTCATCACTGATGATGGCTAGGAAATTTAATTGGAAACCATGTTTATTTACATTTATATTATATTGTGACTGGCTAGGTGACCTATCAGAGACTCATTGCAGCCTATTGTGAAGTTGGCGACATTGAAGGTGCAAGGCGAGTTGTGATTTTTGATTTTCTTCCAATTAGTTTACACTTGTGGTGTGAATTCTGTGAAATTCTATGTAATAAAAAAATTGAAGTAACAGTGTTTTTCGCAACGTCTTGCAGTACAATCCTGGGCTTTATGAAGAGCAAAGACCTGCCCATCACAGAAGCTGTGTTCAACTCGCTAGTGACAGGCCATGCCCGTGCAGGGTGAGTGAGTGGACTGTGCTGTTGATTTGGTGCTTCTTTGTGTTTGGTAACTTTGTGTTGAGTGACTAGTGTCTGTACAGGGACATGGACAGTGCTGAAGGCATCCTATCAGTCATGAAAGGTTCAGGGATTGAGCCGGGCCCAGACACGTACCTGTCTCTCCTCAACGTGTATGCTGAGAAAGGAGATATATCCCAAATTAAACAGGTCTGTTATTGTGGGGGATGAAATGGACTCATCAAGAGAATGCTGTGTATAATGTTTCATTTATATGTTTTTAAAAAAACAGCTTGCTGACCTCAGATTTTTGAATGTTGTGGATACATTATATTTATACAAAATATTTTAAGAACCGTAGCATAATCAAAAGTTAAAATGCAGTAATTGATTTTATTTGTATTTGTTTTTAGGTAATAAATATATATATCATATTTTGTCTCCTCTAGACTCTAGAGACGGTGGAGAATGCAGATATCCTTCTGATGGACAGAGATTTGATGCAGGTGGTTTTCAGTCTGACTAAGGCCAGCCATCAGCAGCATGTGCCTGAGATTGTGGAGCGCATGCGTCACGAGAGAGGATATGTGCCAGGTGTGTCTGCTGACTGCAGTGTCGTGTCATGGAAGAGGAAGGAATATGGAACCATTAACTTTGAATTTTGCCCTAAGCGCTTACCATAGTGGTCCATACTGAGCCATAGTGGTCCCATATGTATTCAAAGCGGTATTCTATTTAAGTGTTTTAAATATGAACCCAGGCCAATTAGAGAAATGGGATATATAAAATATTGATGCAGTGAGAGGTTATGGGATTTTGGGAAAGTTATCAATAATTGATGTAGTTTTTTATTTTGATACTGACCCATCCATTTGTTTCTATTTCCTCAGACGCTATGAACCTCTGCTTGAGTCTGATTACCCACGGACATGAAGAGACTGCGTTTTCTGTGCTAAAGAGCTTCACCGGCCTGCTGGTAGAGTCACAGACCAGTGATTCCCCAGACTTGGGAAACTTCTTTCTTCGCCACTGCGCCAATATGGACAAGGTAAAGGGAACCAACCTAAACATTTTTACAAGTGCATATTAAGTGTACATGTATGTTAAAGGAATAATTCACCACAAAATGAAATTTTTTGTCATTTACTTACCCTTATGTCGGTCCAAACCTGTATGAGTTTCTTTCTTATAACAGTTTTTGGTCCCCGTTGACTTCCATAGTAAGGAAAAAAATACTATGGAAGTCAATGGGGACCATCATCAACTCTTTGATTCTTCAAAATATCTTATTTTATGTTCAACATGAGAAAGGAACTTATACAGGTTTGGAATGACTTGAGGGTGAGTAAATGATGACCAAATTTTAATTTTGGGGTGAACTATTCCTTTAAGCTGTTCTGAGACGGCTTAATATTATTAATGCTGTGTTAATTTGTATGTTTATGCCTTACAGCCTGTGGAAAACATAGTTGGGTTTTGCAAAGATCTAAAAGATTCAGGTCTGCACTCATCGCCACTGCAGTTCACCCTTCAGTGTGCCCTGGAAGCTAAAAAGACCGGTGAGTGCAATGATGATTTAAAGTTAATAAATTCAGTCAAATCCCAGGCTTTTAATTCAAGCTTATTTGTCCATTTTTGTTTCTTTTGTTTTCAAATATTTTGTTATTGTCGTGAAAATAGCCATTTATGCTGTTATTACAATATGAATGCATAATTCAAAGATATTAACCTAATAAGAAAGATAACAAGGTGTTTGAGATTTTGAAACATTAATACACAGGAGGATTATTTGAACAGGATTAAAATGATCCCGTGTTAAACATTTCTGGGCCCAGTTCTTTCTCTTTATTTTTAGTTTATCTGATAATCTCACAGCTTGATTTGTGAAATATGCTTCATCATTTTAAGGTATGGCTGTTGAGCTCATGAGAAGCATGAAGGAGGAGGGCTTGCCTCTCAGACCTCACTACTTCTGTCCCCTGTTCACTCATTACCAGAAAGACAAGAACATTCCCGGTGAGTCCTGAGCTTCCAGCCTTCTTCTTAAACACTGATCTGTACACTGTCATTATTGCGGCCACATTTACTTCCATAATATGATGTATTTCCTATTGATATTCAAAAGGGAAGAATTTTCCAGGATTCCATCTGGAATGAATTGGATTGTGAAAAGTTAGAGTAGTCTATTTAGTTATTTCTTAAGCTGTGGAATAGGAAAAATTGACTCTCTTTTTGACACCTAGTTGATGAATATAATTTTTTTCTTCCATAATTCTTTCAGTTTCTCTGTTCCAGACTTACAAATAAATGTTCTGACAAAAGAGCATGTCCAGATACAGTGGTGTGAAAAAGTGTTGGCCCCCTTCCTGATTTCTTATTTTTTTTGCATGTTTGTCACACTTTAATGTTTCAGATCATCAAACAAATGTAAATATTACACAAAGATAATGCAAGTAAATACAAAATGCAGTTTTTAAATGATGATTTCATTTATTAAGGGAAAAAAGCTGTCCAAACCTACGTGGCCCTACGTGAAAAAATAATTGCCCCCTCCTGTTAAATCATGAAAGAACTGCAATTAACCACATTATTTTAGAAAGCTGAGTTAAATTTCACTAGCCACACCCAGGCCTGGTTACTGCCAGACCTGTTGAATCAAGAAATCACTTAAATAGAACCTGTCTGACAAAGTGAAGCATGCTTAAATAGCAACACATTATGCCGCGATCTAAATCAAAACCCGAATCAAAACAGTTGACATGTATCAGTCTGGAAAGGATTATAAAGCCATTTCTAAGGCTTTGGGACTCCAGCGAACCACGGTCAGAGCCATTATCCACAAATGGAGAAAACTTGGAACAATGGTGAACCTTCACAGGAGTTGCCGGCCAACCAAAATTACTCCAAGAGCACAACAGTTACATAAAACAGGAAGACTCAATCTGCAATGGATTCGCCTTGTTCTTACACACTCTGTTGTCAGAAAATGTATAGTAATAGCACTACAGAAACCTAGAAACTTTCAAAACCTAGGGTCCTGTTTGTCTACTGACCATAAAGGCATCTGTCTTTTAAATGAGCATTCTAAGTGAATTTAAACCTCATAAGCAGGTTTATGTGGAATTTTTTGACTTGATTTAGCCTTTCCTAGTCTTTATTTTCTGTCTCTTATATTCTCATATTCTTATAGGCTCTTATATTCAACAACGCTGCATTTATTTGATCTTCATTTGATCAAATACAGTAAAATCTGAATATATTTTAAAACATAATTTATACCTGTGATGTAAAGCTGAATTTAATTACTCCAGTCACATGGTCATTCACAAATCATTCTTGGTGTTCAAGAAACAGTTCTTGTTATTATCAATGTTAATTCAATGTCATTATACTCTTTTAAGAATAGAAAGTATTTTTATTTGAAATAGAAATCTTTATACATTACAACATTATAAATATCTTCATTGTGACTTTTGATCAATTTAATGCATCTTTGAATTTCTTGATGAAAAAACTTTTTGAACATTTATGTATATGTGCTTTCCTGTTTCAACAGACGCAAGCAGACTTCAAGTTTTGCTTCTAGCAAGATATACTTTTGGTTTTTTAGAATTTTTAAATCCATTTCATTTCAAAATTGAGCTTGTTGACAGTTTGAACTCTGACCTCTCCCTTTTAGTGCTCCTCTAGTAAGAGAGACCGCAGTCTTGGTTACTTCCCGCACTTACAGGTCAATCATCAAACTCTGTGATGTAGCAAACAGAAACTTGGAGGTCGCCCGAGAATTCATTGAACCGGATTTGTTCCATAAAAGCCCTCTCACACACTTTCTGAATTGAGAGAAGTAGAGAAGTCTCGGGTGATGTGACTGGATATCCATTTTCTATCCCCATTCACATGCTGCATGCTAGTGCTGTCTGGGCCAATGGGCCAACCTGACAAATGGATCAATGGATTATTTAACAGCAAAACAGGTGTGCTTCTCTCATAAAAATGAAAGAATGAATAGACAGACGGCCCTCAGGCTCCATTGAGAAGAGAGTGTCTGGATGACTGTTTACGTTTGCATGAAAGCAAAGAGCTACTGAGTTGCAAGAAAGGATGAATGGAGAAAGACGCACAGATGAGAATGAAATGGAGAGATGGGATGGATGGATGGATGGATGGATGGAGCCTCCAGGTGCTTTACCTGGCTAATGCTCTCACAACACCGGTTGCCGGCCGCTTCTGGTGCCAGATGCAGGTTTTAATGGCAGATAAAAGCAGCTCTTATCTTTTATTCAGGTGTGTAGGTGTCCCCTGAGCATTGCGATACAGAGTGCTAAGGACCAAGGTGAAGAGTAAACAGAACACAAATCGCTAGTTCACGTGTTCCCACACACACAAACGTTTGCCCGAGTAGGTCGAGAGACTGTTCCATATGCATGCTGTGCTTTAGGCAGGAGTGAAGGGCCCTGCTGGAGAGCCGGGTACAGGCCTGAATCCTCTGCCTGAAGGAGATGTTCCTCTAGGCCATGCTACTGGAAGACTGATGTGATAATTTAAATATTCAGAGTATTTTATTTCATTTGTTTATTAATGCTTTCAATTTAAGACCTGGTTCAGTGAATTGTACACAGCCTTGGGCTTTAAGTCATGTTGCTGGTTTAAAAAAAATCCCAGAACCAGTGTAGCGTTAGTCTTAGTACTTATGAAAAGATGTTTTTGCTTATTTCTTTCCCACATAATATGTATAGTAATAGCACTACAGAAACCTAGAAACTTTCAAAACCTAGGGTCCTGTTTGTCTACTGACCATAAAGGCATCTGTCTTTTAAATGAGCATTCTAAGTGAATTTAAACCTCATAAGCAGGTTTATGTGGAATTTTTTGACTTGATTTAGCCTTTCCTAGTCTTTATTTTCTGTCTCTTATATTCTCATATTCTTATAGGCTCTTATATTCAACAACGCTGCATTTATTTGATCTTCATTTGATCAAATACAGTAAAATCTGAATATATTTTAAAACATAATTTATACCTGTGATGTAAAGCTGAATTTAATTACTCCAGTCACATGGTCATTCACAAATCATTCTTGGTGTTCAAGAAACAGTTCTTGTTATTATCAATGTTAATTCAATGTCATTATACTCTTTTAAGAATAGAAAGTATTTTTATTTGAAATAGAAATCTTTATACATTACAACATTATAAATATCTTCATTGTGACTTTTGATCAATTTAATGCATCTTTGAATTTCTTGATGAAAAAACTTTTTGAACATTTATGTATATGTGCTTTCCTGTTTCAACAGACGCAAGCAGACTTCAAGTTTTGCTTCTAGCAAGATATACTTTTGGTTTTTTAGAATTTTTAAATCCATTTCATTTCAAAATTGAGCTTGTTGACAGTTTGAACTCTGACCTCTCCCTTTTAGTGCTCCTCTAGTAAGAGAGACCGCAGTCTTGGTTACTTCCCGCACTTACAGGTCAATCATCAAACTCTGTGATGTAGCAAACAGAAACTTGGAGGTCGCCCGAGAATTCATTGAACCGGATTTGTTCCATAAAAGCCCTCTCACACACTTTCTGAATTGAGAGAAGTCTTGAATCGGCGGGTGATGTGACTGGATATCCATTTTCTATCCCCATTCACATGCTGCATGCTAGTGCTGTCTGGGCCAACTTTTATAGCTGACAAATGGATCAATGGATTATTTAACAGCAAAACAGGTGTGCTTCTCTCATAAAAATGAAAGAATGAATAGACAGACGGCCCTCAGGCTCCATTGAGAAGAGAGTGTCTGGATGACTGTTTACGTTTGCATGAAAGCAAAGAGCTACTGAGTTGCAAGAAAGGATGAATGGAGAAAGACGCACAGATGAGAATGAAATGGAGAGATGGGATGGATGGATGGATGGATGGATGGAGCCTCCAGGTGCTTTACCTGGCTAATGCTCTCACAACACCGGTTGCCGGCCGCTTCTGGTGCCAGATGCAGGTTTTAATGGCAGATAAAAGCAGCTCTTATCTTTTATTCAGGTGTGTAGGTGTCCCCTGAGCATTGCGATACAGAGTGCTAAGGACCAAGGTGAAGAGTAAACAGAACACAAATCGCTAGTTCACGTGTTCCCACACACACAAACGTTTGCCCGAGTAGGTCGAGAGACTGTTCCATATGCATGCTGTGCTTTAGGCAGGAGTGAAGGGCCCTGCTGGAGAGCCGGGTACAGGCCTGAATCCTCTGCCTGAAGGAGATGTTCCTCTAGGCCATGCTACTGGAAGACTGATGTGATAATTTAAATATTCAGAGTATTTTATTTCATTTGTTTATTAATGCTTTCAATTTAAGACCTGGTTCAGTGAATTGTACACAGCCTTGGGCTTTAAGTCATGTTGCTGGTTTAAAAAAAATCCCAGAACCAGTGTAGCGTTAGTCTTAGTACTTATGAAAAGATGTTTTTGCTTATTTCTTTCCCACATAATAGGAAAGCATCTTTTTTTTTTTTTTTAAACCAGAAATCATGGTTCAAATATGTAATGCTGAGTCATTGCTTGGTTGGACTGAATGAACAGGCAGTGATGGTGGGATGTGATTTGGTTTTTTGTATCTGTATTTTCCAACCTATGATGTATGACCCACATTAATTGCATAAATTCAAGGAGAGAAAGAGAAGCTTTACAGGTAAAAAGCAGGTTTCCCCTTTTTTATACTTTGCATGTATTACAAGACCATAGAGTGTCCTATTTGTCACTTAAGATTTCATGAGAACTTGAGGGCCCTATTTTGCTCCATAGACCATCTTTGAACTTTGGTGCAGACGCAACTTTTGTATGTCTTGAATTACATTTTAAGGTGCACATGTTTGAATAAATCACTTTTTGTTTCCTTTCAGGTACTCTGCAAGCTTTGAGAGCCATGCAAGAACTGGGCGTCGCGTCAGACGTTGATACTTTTAGTATCTATATCCTGCCATCTTTCCCATCAGTGGACAGTGCCCGCACTTCTCTTAAGGTTATAGTGCTGGATATGTGTGTGGCTTGTTGGTTTATGTGACCGTTCTGAAACACTCTTTAACTTGGGTTGATAATTGCAGGAGGCAGGTATTGACGTGGACGGCAATGTTTTGATTGCGGCAGAATTACGAACAGAAGCATCACGTGGAAACCTTGCAGGGCTGTTCTCTCTGAGTAAGCATTAGCTTTCATGAAAATTGACCTCTTTTCCTTTCTTTCAACCACTCTCTGTCTGTCTGTATATCATGTACTCTGTGGAGAGATTTTTTTAGATGTACCCTCCCTGTATGATAGTACTCATCACTTGGAGACTAATTGCCATCCATCTGGACTTCACATACATATCCACTCAAACATGCACTCTACCAAGCAGCTACATGCCCATTAGGTCATTTAAGTGATTAGAGAGTGAAAAAAGTATATACTGCATATATACTGTGTATATATATTGTGTTTATATATGCAAAATTAATCAATGGAGTGAAGCTCCTTATCTGACCAAGGTAAATGGGGACAGATGCTGTTGAATTATGGATTGTACCTTTTCCCCTTTACAGTTGTGCCCCCTGCTGTCTGTTTTCCCCTTTTTTTTTCTTTTTTTTTTTTTTACTTAATTCCTATTGGTTTAATTTGAATTCAAAAGTACTGGAATTACCCTTTTTTTTTACCAGAAAATTTGCCAAATGGTCTAAATCCATAATAAGTCAACATGCAGCTCACTAAGAAAATGAGCTTTAGTTACGATGTTAACGGGGTTATATGTTTGAAATGTTTCTGTTGTCATGACATTCATCACATTCACACTCTTGCAGTGTCTTCACCTGCTCTTCCAAACATTGACCTCAGTGCTTTCAGAGCCAGTCTGATCTCTGGATTCAGAGGGTAAGTAACGAAACAAACTCTCTGTGTGTGTGTGTGTGTTAGGTAGCAGAATGTTCTGCCTTTTGGCTAGACAGCCACTCACTCACCACCTCATGCATATGGACGCAGTCATCTCTAGCCCAATTACAGCATGGGAGGAATGCAAATAGAGTTTGTCCTCTTTGTTGCTTTGCTTCTGATGCCTCTCTGTCCGATGCTGAAAGACTACTAACTATCCCGACTGCCGCTGATGGTGAGATGCAAAGAAACAAACTCTCTGTGTGTGTGTGTGTGTGTGTTAGGTAGCAGAATTTTCTGCCTTTTGGCTAGACACCCACTCACCCGTCACCTCATGCATATGGACGCAGTCATCTCTAGCCCAATTACAGCATGGGAGGAATGCAAATAGAGTTTGTCCTCTTTGTTGCTTTGCTTCTGATGCCTCTCTGTCCGATGCTGAAAGACTACTAACTATCCCGACTGCCGCTGATGGTGAGATGCAAAGACTCACATGGGCATTTTAGCCATCAGCATGGCTGTCAGTGTTTATTTTTTGTCTAATTCCCCCCCAGACAGTCACCTCATTCCTCACACATGCTCATAAACCTGTCATGGTATTTCATTTATCACATAATTTTCTTATGGTATCACTTAGTGCACTCACTCAGCTTACGTCTAAAATCAATCCCATCATGCACAATAGTTAAGGACCAGCTCTGTTTTTAACTCTGATTTAAGCGCAGAGGCTGTAGGGCAGCAGATGCTGCTGTCCTCTGTATTTAGCAAAGCATTTAGATGTGAAAGCTGAGCAGGGAGGTTGCCGGCAGCGATGGATGTCAGGTTTGTAATTGGGGTTGTCAGAAGGGTAGAGGGGGTTGTGGGGGCCCTGTCTCCTTAGTGACCTGCTCTTGTGATAATCAAGGTCAGAAGATAATTTAATCATTAAACAATGTTGAATCTTTTTTTCCTTCCTTGTCTCCGTGCTGTCTGCCGTCAACACTCCCTACCACTACTGCATCTTGATTTCTCAGCGTGTTGTCGGACTGTGTGTGAATGTGCATTTGTGTATATGTGTGACCACTGAGGCTCTAGAAAGCTTTTTTTTATATATATATATATACTATAAATATATTAATGAAATTATATTATGACTATATTACTATTACTCAAAACCTATAATCATACAATATATAGTAATCTACACTAAAGTTTTTTTTTAAAGAAATGTTTATTTTTATTTAGCAAGGATGTATTAAATTGATCAAAAGTGACAGTAAAGAGTTTTATAATGTTACAAAATATTTATATTTCAAATAAATGTTGTTCTTTTGAACTTTCTATACATCAAAGGATCCTGTAGAAAATGTATTCCAGTTTTGGAAATTGGCAGCAGTACTGTTATTAACATTGATAATAATAAGAAATGTTTCTTATTCACCAAATCAGCATATTAGAAGGATTTCTAAAGGATCATGTAACACTGAAGACTGGCGTAATGATGCTGAAAACTCAGCTTTGTCATCACAGGAATAAAATACATTGTTCATTTCAGTTCACATTTATTTATATAGCACTTTTCACAATTCATATAGTTTCAAAGCATTAAAAATTTTCGATTAAATTATAAATGCAACAATTTTGTTTTTGCCCCCAATTTTCATGAGCTGAACTCAAAGATCTAAGACTTTTTCTATGTACACAAAAGGCCTATTTCTCTCAAATATTGTTCACAAATCTGTCTAAATCTGTGTTAGTGAGCACTTCTCCTTTGCCGAGATAATCCATCCACCTCACAGGTGTGGCATATCAAGATGCTGATTAGACAGCATGATTATTGCACAGGACACCGCCACCATGGGCCACCTGATCCACAATGTTGACGTCAGCAAACCGCTCACCCACACGACGCCATACACGCTGTCTGCCATCTGCCCTGTACAGTGAAAACCGGGATTCATCCGTGAAGAGAACACCTCTCCAAAGTGCCAGACGCCATCGAATGTGAGCATTTGCCCACTCAAGTCGGTTACGATGAAAGTCTTAGATCTTTGAGTTAAGCTCATGAAAAATGGGGGCAAAAACAAAAGTGTCGCGTTTATAATTTTGTTCAGTGTAAATGCAGCCATGGTGAGCGTCATAACATGTTTTAAATATATTATTATTATTATATATATTATTTTCTCATTATTCACTGCTATAAAGTATTTTATTCACCTTTTGTTTGCAGTCTCTTTTTAATTATTTAAAAAAAAATCCTTATACAGTTATCATGGGTGACTGGAAAAATCTTGGAAAGAAATCACAGGGATTCATTGGTCAAAAAGTGAGAGGACCCTGTCATATGTTCTGATATGTCAAATGAAGCCCAGTCACACCAAATATGTACTTGATCTTGAAATCACTCTCTGACAGATGATCAGCCAAAGTATTTTGTTTGAAAGTTGCAGTAGAAATGTTTTTGTCCGTGTCTGTATGAGAGTCATCTCTGATCCTCTACTGCCCCCTACAGGTTTCACAATGTGGAGCTTATGGCAAAGGTAAGCATGAAACCAAGTGATTTTAAGAAAGATGGTAAAAAAACTAATGAAAGAACTTTTGTTAAAGTGACCTCTTCATCTGCTGTTACAGATTACAGAGCTTCTCTATAAAGACCCTCGGTTCAATAGTGCTGACCCTGAAACTTCAGGTAAGTTGTTTATTTAACACTCTTTAACATTACGTGTTTGCCTGTTCGTATTTCTGTATTTAACATTTATTTAAAATGATAATTGGTGGAAAAGGGGGAATTTTTCAACTTTTCAGTTGATTTAAATGCTCCTGCAGTATGACGAATTCATTCAAAGTACAATATTTCAGTCTTTCAGTTAATGTCATAAAAATTTTGTTAAAAATAGGTTTTAATAAACTGTAGCATGCCATACTAAATTCTTTTTTTATGCTGCTTTATCACTTTTTTCCTTTTATTTATTCTCTTGTTTTATTTTCATAATGTCCCTGACGATCTTAGCTGATAGCCAGTATAATATCAGCTCTTGTGATGGTTAGAAAACATTGCACTAGTAAATCTCAATGCCTATATGTCCTCTGAGCTGGTTTCACTGACAGTATCGCGTGTGTGTGCACTGAGGTCTGTTAGGCCACTGGCAGTGATGGAGTGTATCCTGACAGCCGTACTTTGCATTAAGTGTGTCGTGTGTGTGTCTGATGCAGTCTGAATAGTAGCCGTGTGCATGTTTATGTGAGTGCTGTCTGCTTGCTGACTCTGCGCTGAGTTAACAGAGCTTCTGCGAGTGTTTGTCTTCTTGCTGCACTGGAGCTGGCCTCCGCTCTGGTGTCCGAGCAGGTGGGAGCGATGGAGACGGTCTCTCTGTCTCATCCCATCGCCATGCACAACGCAAATGTGTGCGTGAGGCTGTCAGCTGCCAGCCACTTGTTAAAACAGACTTCAGTCAAGTCTGCAGCAACCTGCTTGTGTCAGCATAACACACACAAACGGTTTAAGAGCTTATTTGCTGGATTGCAGTATTTTTATTGTTCTGGTCCTACAGAAGCTCCCTTTGTGTATTCATATGACTCTATTAATGTATTTATAGAAAGCAGAAAGTGTCAAATTGGTTCTTCTCTCCTTTTTGCAGAAAATGTGGCCTACTTCCTTTACAACCTGATTGATTCCCTGAACGAGACCGAGGTGCACTCCAAAGAAGAGCAGATTAGGGAGTACTTCGGCCTGCTTAAGAACATGGTACGTTGGCAAACACTTAAGCATAGTGTCGTGAACCGCTCGGTATGCCTGTTAAATCGTCTAGGACCCCAGCACATAGCCATTCACAATGCCTTATGATCAGATAAAAACATATGTGCACTACACTCGTTCAAAATGTGGGATCAATAAGTCGTTTCAGCACGTATGCATTAAATGTGAGTGACAGTAAAAACTTGTTATAATAGATTTTTGTTTTACATAAATGCTGTTCTTTTTGAATCCAGAGAAAAAATATATCACAGTTCACAAAAATATTTTAGAAAAAAAACAAGCATTTTAGAAAGATTTCTGAAGGATCATGTGACCGTGAAGACAGGAGTAATGGCTGCTGAAAATTCCAACACAGGAATAAATTACATTATAAAATATATTAAATTAGAAAACACTTAAATTGTAATAATATTTCACAATTACTGTATTTTTGATCAAATGGCAGTATGCTAAGCTAGTACGCAGAGCTTTTAGCTTTACAAAATAAAAGCTACTTAATACAAAGAACAAGAAATGTTTAATTCTGCATCTACAGTTTTGATTATTTGCTATTAAACGCAACCTTATTCAAAATACATTAGTGAACAGAATAACATGTATACAGAAGCACTGAAGCAAAACTAAAGATCATTTGTTACTTTGTTAGATCAGTAGTTACTCAATGTTAATAATTTCTCTTCTTTAAGAATATCAGCATCTCGCTGAACATCTTCAGAGGAATCAGGAACATTCTGGAGTCCTACCAAGTTCCAGAACTTGTCAAGGTATTTTATAAATAGTGTTGTTTGCAAAGACAAGTATAATTTTCTGTACTTGGAGATTTGAATCTGACACCATTTCCACAGCTTTCAGCCAAGAATTATACCAAAATTCAACATTAGAGGTGTGCTAGTACTTTTCTAAGTGAAAATGCTTTATTTTTTATCTGGCAGACAATAAAATGGCCAAAAAACACATTGGGCATTAATTAGCATTAGCTAATTAATTAATTGCATAGCAACACCCTGGCATCACAGAGATTTTTGCATGGCAAAACCAATAAATATTTTCTTCAAAAACTTTATAAATCTGTTTTTTATCATTTTTTTCCCAGATCTGTAATAGTACAGTTAATTAGAGCAGGTCATATTTTTTTCTTTCAGGATGTCCTTGCTCTTGTGGATAAAAAGGACAATGGGTTTGAGACTGATGCAACACTGCTTGGAGTAAGTATTTGTATGTATATATTTTTTTAACCAAAAGTGCTCTCCATGAGCTGAGCTGTGTCAGTCAGATGAACTCATGTTTTTGTTCGGGTTTGGAGGGGAAACTTTCTTTCCTGGAGAAGACCCTGGCAGAGCTGAAAGCTGAGGGCAAGCCAGCCAGTTCCACCCTCAAAAAAGTAATCACTGTCCTGTGTTCCGAGGAGGTGAGGTCTATTATTCTCATAAATACCAATCAGTATATTTAGTGTTCTGGACACCGATTACTATTTTTATAGACATTTATAGGGGTCAACTGATTTGATTGAACCAATTGTGCACCTTATTTTGAACGCATCGGGTGGGTTCGGACATTGTTAACTTGAATGTGCAAGACTTCAGTCTCCAGTTTGGGAGACTGTCAATTTTCAGTCAATTGACTGTTTCAGTCAATTTTATTCTGCTAGATTATTACCTATAGTAGCTAATGAAGTCCCGCACATTCACAGAAAATAGCTTGGTTCCACATTATAAAATATGGTGGATATTGGTTTGTCACTAGATTAGATTAGATTAGATTAGATTCAACTTTATTGTCATTGCACATGTAAGGTACAAGGCAACGAAATTAGTAGCTAATGAAGTCCCGCACATTCACAGAAAATAGCTTGGTTCCACATTATAAAATATGGTGGATATTGGTCTGTCACTAGATTAGATTAGATTAGATTAGATTCAATTTTATTGTCATTGCACATGTAAGGTACAAGGCAACGAAATGCAGTTAGCATCTAACCAGAACTGCAATAAGCAGTAAGTACAGGATATACAGTGTCTCCAATATGTTACAAATGTACAATAAATATACAGATAAGGCAGTACTATGGACATAATTTACAGATTTTTAAATACTATTAGCATGATATACAGATAGGTGTACTATGAACATACTATACAGATGGATTATGTAATAAGTTTATGTACACTATAAGCAGAAAAGTATGAACATATGAACATCATTTACAAATGAATATGTAAGCGATACATTAAGCTGTACAAAGCTGTACACATTTAAAAAAGTGCATAGAAAATATTCCAGTGCAAATGGATCATTCAGTATTCTGGATGTACAGACAGTAGTGCAAGTAATAACAAGTGTAACAGGTTTTAAAAAAAATTTTTTTTTTTTTTTTCTCCCACTAGTCACCATTCGTCAGTATTTGTGTATACATGTTTGCAGTTGATTTTTTCTGTAACGTTATATCTCTCATTAGAGACTGGAGCGAGCTCTGGAGCTTAAAACTCAGTATGAAACGGATATGACTCCTGCCGCATATGCCACGCTCATCAACTTGTGCTGCCGCCATGACAATGCCGAGGAAGCCCTCAAGCTAAAGATGGAATTGTAAGTTAGACGTACACATTATCACCATCATACAAACATCCTTGTTTTGCTTTGTGAACAGTTAAAGGAACAGTTCACCAAGTAATTAAAATGTCATTAGTCACTCATTCCACAATTGTAAGAACATTCCATGTAACGCAAGGACATTTTTGAAGAACATTCTGGTTGCTTTTTTACAATGAATAGAGATGGAGCATTCAAGCTTCATTAAAGATGCAAAAGCAACATAAAAGTAGTCCATACGACTAAGTTCCACATCTTCTGATAGCAACATCTCTTCTCTGATGAGAGAGAAGTGAAAAAGTGGCCTTGGATATTTGTAAAAAAAATGAAATTTTTTGAATGAAATCAATTCAGAAGGAACATGAGGGGGTGAGAAAATAATGACAGCTTAAAGGGTTAGTTCACCCAAAAATTAAAATTAGGCTGCGTTTTACTCACCCCCGAGGCATCCTTCTTTCAGATGAATGCAGTCGGAGTAATATAAAAAATTGTCTTTGCTCTTTCAAGCTGTTTAATGCCACTCAGCGGGTGTTGCATTGCTTCAGTCCAAAAGAAGTGAAATAAAAATCGCCCATCCATAAAAAGTGTCTCCGGGGGGTGAACAAAGGCCTTCTACGCTACGAATCGATGCGTTTTTGTAAGAAAAATATCCATATTCAAAACGTAATAATCACTTTAATCTAGCTTGCGCTCACTGTTGTAAACAGAAGCAGTTCCAGGGGAATAACGTATGTGGTCGGCTTTGCGCATGCGCCGCTCAGAAGTGACGCACGCGGAAACGCAGCAGAGAGATCAAAACAAAACAACGGTCAAGAATTAGAAGTACAAAACGAGGATTTGTAAAGAAGCATGTCAGAGGATTTCGATATAAGCAAAGAAGAGACTGGTTTTCCTTTGCTAAAGTAAGGAAACTTTGCTTCCTTTGCTCCTGTTAGCAAACGTTGGTTTTCACTAGACTCACCGGCGCATGCGCAACGCTGACCTCATACGTCATGCTCCCGGAACTGCTTCTGTATACAACTGTTGGCGCAAGCTACATTTAAGTGATTATTACGTTTTGAATATGGATATTTTTCTTACAAAAACGCATCGATTCGCTACAGAAGGCCTTTGTTCATCCCCCGGAGCCGTGTGAGACAATTTTTTTTTTATGGATGGGCGATTTTTATTTAAGTTCTTTTGGACTGAAGCATGCAACACCCGCTGAGTGGCATTAAACGGCTTGAAAGATCAAATACCTTATATTTTTAATATAACTCTGACTGGATTCGTCTGAAAGAAGAAAGTCATATACACCTAGGATGCCTCGGGGGTGAGTAAAATGCAACCTTATTTTCATTTTTGGGTGAACTAACCCTTTAATTCTCAAGTGAAGTATCCCTTTGAATTTGAAACATTCGCAGCACAAAGAATGTGACTTAAAAATTAATTTGTCAACCTGTGGTTTACTCCTCTTTGGCGTTTCAGGGCTCGCAGGGACTCTGAGGCAGCGCTGGATGCTCAGAAGTATGTGGCCTTGGTCCGAGTGCTATCCAAACACGGCAAGCTGGAAGGTTAGTGGTCAAACTACACACCCGTGCCCGTGTGATAGCGTCAGGCCCTGTTGAAATAATTACAGACGCCCTCTTATTTTCACCATCCTGGATTAATGAAATAATTTAGTTTAGTTTGTCACAAATAATGTGGGCTGTCACATTAGGTGTGCCTTGCCTCACTTTTTAAACCACTTAGGACATCAAGGTACCAATGAGCATTTTGTATTACTTATTACGGCGCTATCAAAAGCTTGCCACTTGCTTAATTAGTTTCTTAAAGGCGGCGTTCAACGTGAGCAACCGTGAGAGTGCGTCTACGTGCAAGAGTGAGGTCCGAGACACCTGTCTATCCGCATGGGGACATTAATCAGCCATTATCTGAATTCCACGGTGGATTTCTCCATGCTCATGGAAGACGCAATTACAATAAAAGTGTTTCCTCTTTGCTTTGTGCACACTGTGATGGTGAAAATACACGCTCCGTCTCTCTTTTCACGATGCGTGTCACTCTTTGGCTGCCCCCTCCCTCTCGCTCGGACTCATCCTGTCACCAAGCGAGGGAAAATTACAGGACCGGCTGCACTTTAACAGAATTACTGAAATCCGTCCTGATACTAATGGCATATCATGTCGGGGAAAGTGCTTGAGTATTTCACACACATACGCACATTTGCATGTGAATTCAGGCGAAAGTGTGTGATGAGGGAAGTGTATGTGTATGTATATGTGTGTCCATCAGAGCGAGCCGGTGGCCATTAGCCCGCCGGTGTGCGCTTGGAGCTTGTCATTCACATTAACACACCTCAGTGCCCCAGCCTGCCCGCATCTCCGCCACATCCCGATCCGCTTGAAGATCATGACTCGTGGCACCTTAGCGCACTGGCTGGCCTGGCTTTTAATGGCCTTGTTTTTGTTTGAAACCCTTTCCTCGCCTCTTGTTCCTTCCTTCCTCAGTTTTTTTTCTCTTGTTTCCTTACATTTGATACGGCCGTGGAATGAGCTCGAGGACTAATGGGCTGTGTGATATTTGTTTACCTCAGTGTGTGTGGTATCAGACAGTGGGCCGGGATGCTTCGCTGCTAGCCGTCCATTCGGGCCCATTTACCACCAGCAGCTGATTGGGTGTGATTAGTGGTTCTGTCAGAAGAGAAGAATTTGAGCTGTCTGCCGTCACAGAGCTTTCTCATATGGCTGAAGTTCAGCTTGGTTGCTGTTTGTGGTCCAGCGATGTGTGAACCGTGCTCCTTATGACCAGAGAGTGGTCTGAGGGGCTTCATTTGGGACTTTTGTCTTCTCAAACCTCATCTATTACCTCAGGACACGCTCAACAGGAAGTCCTAGTATTGTGCAGAAGTTTACACACCTTGTGGCCTAGTGCTTGTACACTGACATATTGAGCTATGATACTTAAAGGGTTAGTTCACCCAAAAATGAAAATTAGCCCATATTTTATTCGCCCTCAAAGCATCCTAGGTGTAAAACAAACAACCAACAAACAATATGACTTTCTTCTTTCAGAATAATCCAATCGTCATTATATTAAAAATGGTCCTGGCTCTTCCAAGCATTAGAATGGCAGTAGGCGGGTGTTTTTTTTCAACAGTCCAAAAGTAGTCAAAAAAGCGCATCCGTCCATAATAAAATGTGTCTCACACGGCTCTGCGGGGGGGGTGTGAATAAAGGCCTCCTGTAGTGAATCAATGCGTTTTTGTAAGAAAAATATCCATATTTAAAACATTATAAACACTTTTCTCTCACTTCCGCTAACTGTTGTAGGCAGAAGCCGTTATGGGCGCAGCGGAGAGAGAACAAAACAAAATGCTGGTCATGAATTAGAAGCACAAAACGAGGATTTGTAAAGAAAAATGTCGGAGAATTTCGATATAAGCCAAGAAGAGACTGGTTTTCCTTTGCTAAAGTAAGGAAACTTTGCTTCCTTTGCTTCTAAACCATAGATTAAAATTAGATGTAATGTCTTATTAATTCAATAAGTTTATTTATGTATTTTAGTTCAAATAAATCTAAATTTTAATAGTTTAATAGATCTAGTTTCTAACAGATAAATTTGTTCACATGCTTCGATTCTGGAAGTGGACTGTCACTCCTTTGGAGTGGATCTTGCTTCAGGATTATAGGTAATTGTTTCTCCAGAAATTCAGTGTTTCTTTTTTTTTTTTTTTTGGTAATAGTATTAATGAGCCTTACTTATGACTGACTGTATGTGTGTTTATGGTAGGTCTGTCTTGGAAATTTTATTTTGAATATAAGGATTCATTTCTTTATAGAGAAAATGAATAGGAGATCCAAGAAAGAGTTTTTTTAAGTACTTAAGTAGAATAAAAGCAAATGTGTCCCTTTCTGACTTTCATCAAGCTCATAACCTCCTTTTATATGGCTGAAATGTTGTACTAAATCAGTGGGCTCTGTACAACAATGCTTGCACAGCCCTGGGCTGTAAGAAAAGTACATGGTTGAGTGCCTAGAGCGACAGCCCAAGAATCAAGAGGTTGTTAGTTCTAATCCCCTCGTGGGTATCGCTGTCACGACGCCCTCCGGCGATCCATTTAACCTCCATTGCTTCAATTCATATCCAGCTGTTAACACCTAACATGTGGCACTTTTTAGACAAGAGCGCTTCTTAAATGACAAGCCTCTATTTAAATGGGCTGACTGCTGGGATCTTGATAAAACAATCCTCAAAAATTAAAAAAGCAGTAAAGGATGAGATCTGTGCCCGAATAACAGCGTGACTGAGTAGATAAGTGAACAGAGCTTTATCATACAAAAGCAGCCTCTTAAAAACTCAGCATGACCCTGCTGAACCTCCTGTTCCCTGCTTCACTGTTCCTTTTGGCTCATCACTTTTCCTGACAGTACGGTGCGCTGCGCTGGATTTGCATAACAACAGGACAAAAATTGCAGGGTGATGAAGTGACAGATTGGAATTTGTGGGCTAAAACAAGCTGGCTGTCTCTGTTTGAGTGTATGTGCGCGTGTGTGTGGAGACTGAAGTGAACTGTGTTGCTGTAGGTCGGCCTGCATTGAATATTTCCATATGCATACCGTTACTCTCCATACTTGAGGTCCTAGTTATTGTCAAAACACTGTAGGAATACTCGTTGGGTAAAGGTGAGGGATTTTTTCTACTCAAATTCACAGTTTAAGATGCAACTGTAAGTGGGCATTTTATAGGTTCATTTCCGTCTGTACAGTCTCTGTGGGTTCGTGGGATTTGTTGCCAAGACTGCATTTAATAGATCAAAAATATAGTAATATTACAACTTAAAATAAATGCTTGTAAAATAAGTTATTCCTGTAATGCAAAGCTGAAGTTTCTCCAGTCTTCAGTGACACAGGATTCTTCAGAAATCATTTTAATATGATGATTTGGTGCTTAAGAAAGATTTCTTCTTATTAGCAGTGTTGAAAAAAGTTGTGCTGCTTAATGTTGTGTAATGATTAATAGGAAGTCTTTTGATTAATGTAGGAAAACATTTATTTGAAATAGAAACATTTTATAATAATATCAATGTCTTTACCATCACTTTTGATCAATTTAATGCATCCCTGCTAAATAAAAGTATTAATTTAAAAAAAAAAAAAAAAAAAAACATCTTACAGTGGCAAGTGTTTAAGAAATTTGTATGAATTAGTCAATATAATTGCAACTGTTTGATGATGCTAATGGGATAGAAATGATATATTTCAAATTCAAAATTGATTAGTGTGTTTTTAATACTTTTTTTAAATTTAAAATATGTTCTGCATATTAAAGGGTTAGTTCACCCAAAAATGAAAATTCTGTCATTAATTACTCACCCTCATGTCGTTTCAAACCCGTAAGACCTTCGTTCATCTTTGGAACACAAATTAAGATATTTTTGTTAAAGGGGTCATATGATGCTTTTTCAAAGATCATTATTTTGTGTATTTGGTGTAACAGAATATGTTGACATGCTTTAATGTTCAAAAAACACATTATTTTTCAAATACTGTACATTATTGTAGGTCCCATCTACTTCTGGAAGGCCAAATAAAGTGCTTTTGCATTCGCCTAGAAACACACAGAGTCTCCCTGACATGGCTGCATCTACACTAACTGCGTTACTGAAACCACGCCTTCTTTCTTTGAGTGAACATTTGGGCGGCATTATGCAAATATTTCCACATAGTGAGGTAGATATGTGGGGGCGTGTTAGAACGAGCCGTTTTAGGGGGGCGTGGCAGAGTCTTAACTTTGATAAAGAATATCTCTGGTTTTGAGACTTTGCAACTTCAGGGGTCTTATCTATGCACAATCAGCTTGTAACACTCCAAAGAGAAAGGAAAACTTGAAATTGCATCATATGACCCCTTTAAAATCTGAGAGCTCTCTGACCCTCCAATAGACAGCAATACTGCTGCAATGTTCCCAGGTCCAGAAACATAGCAAGGACATTGGTAAAATTGTCCATGTGACATCAGTGGTTCAACCGTAATTTTACGAAGCTACGAGAATACTTTTTGTGCGCAAAGAAAACAATAATAACATAATTTATTCAACAATTCTTCTCCCCAAGTTAACGTCTTCCGCCATTTTGGAGAGCATCCACTCAACGTAATCAGCGTTGTTTATGTTCAGCATGCGTATGCTGTCTACTGAACGTAAACAACACTGATTACATTGATTACGTTCTTGTATTGCTGTCTATGGGAGGGTCAGAGAGCTCTCAGATTTTATCAAAAATATCTTAATTTGTGTTACGAAGATGAGCGAAGGTCTTACAGGTTTGGAGCGACATGAGGGTGAGTAATTAATGACAGAATTTTCATTTTTGGGTAAACTAACCCTTTAAAGTATTACATTTTATAAAATATTTAATAATAAAAAATAATATGCTGCATATTAATTTTATTAATATTTGTTATATGAGATTTTATTAACTGCTTTTCACTTAAGTAATATTTTAGTGGCATTTGTGTACCCATATTTTCTTGGGAAAGTTCTTAACTATGTTGACCATTTATACAAACAAAAACTTAATGTTCGGATTAAACTGATATAATTCATACTTTCCAGGGAAAGTATAAATACTGTTGTGTTATCAAAACATTGCTTTTTAAGTTTACTGACACAGCAACAATTGCTCAACCAATAAAGTTTTGGGTGGGATTGCTTATCAACCAATGGCAAGTGTTCAAGAAATGGTACATTTTTGCAGTTTGGCTAATGGCATGAAATCTAGCACTTTATCTACTTTATCGAAGTACTATGAATAAATGGAGATGAACAGCAGTACTGCTGTGAGTCATGTGAGTTTGGGAGTTTGCCTGACTGCCTGTGGCCAGTGCTGACTCCCATATGTACACAGCTGTGATGATGGTACCCTCATTCTCTCTCTCTGTGTCGCTCTCTCTCGGTTCTAGATGATTAGTATCGCCAGTGCAAACAGGCCCTATCGGTATCAGCCTATTAGCTAGCCTCTAAACAGCGCGTAAACACATCTTAATTATCTGGCTTGGTGACAGAGCAGCTGTGGAGGTGGACCCTCTCCCCTCTGCCAGATGGGAGCATCGCCCAGTAAAAAACCTCCATTACGGTAGCAAAGCTGCGGCGTATCCACGACCAGAGCCCACCGAGTTCACGCCGGGCACTCGCCGCACACCTATAATTTCCCAGCATGCTTTCGCAGGGAACCATGAAAAAAAAAGCCTACTATTGTGGGGGCCTCCGTAATTGTAGTCTCGTTTAGAAATGCAAGTAGTAATTAGCGGCGAATTGGCATTATACGACAGCATTTGCATCCCCGCTGGGTGTAAAATGTTGTTTTAATAGCGGTTTGTTTTCCCCACATGAAATTATCTAAGGGGGCTTTTATCACCTCTTCCCCTCTCTCGCACTCTCTCATCTGGCACCAGCCCATCAGGGAACGGCTAAGGCAACAGATATACAAAAAAATCTCCACAAGTCTGTGGAACAGTCAACAAGACGGTTAAACCTTTGTTTGCACTTGCGATTTATGAAACTGAGCCCTGAGTACCAAGTAACCACTATATACATGTGTTGCGTACCATGTAACTAGTTGCATGTAGAGGATTCAAGCATTAATTTGTCAAATTTCATTATTTTATAGTTGTCAGCCCATTCCAAAAAAAATATATCTACATAATCGAGTTGACTCGTTTTTAAGTTGTGAGTCATTGTTGGATAACTGGTCAAAATGTATGACCACTGCTAGGCCATCACTGATATTTTGGCTAATCTATTTTTCTCTCTTTTTCTCAATCTCTGGTGATGTCATACAGAGGCGATAGACATGCTGAAGGAGATGAAGGAGAAGGATGTGCAGTTAAGGGACAGCGCAATCGGTTTGCTCACCCTCACAATGAACACAGCTGCGATGAAAGGAGATGCCAACACTATTCGATGCCTCCAGGAGACAGTCTTCACTTTGGGCCTGGCCAAACCGTCCAGTAACCTCTGCTCACCCCTCATCTCTTGCTATATGGAGAGGTGAGTTAGTAAAACTTTGGAAACTTGCCAGACTTTGTGCTGTTCTTGTCTGTGCAGTGTTCCCCTGCCATTATTTTAGGGGGGCGGCCCGCCCCCCCAACGGCACCCCCCGCCCCCCTTGAAGGTCAAGTTAATTTTATTTAATTATATTTTTTCTATAGCGCCAGATCACAACAGAAGTCATTTAAAGTTACCTTTCCTATAGAACATGTCTATACCTTCTTCTTTTATTAAGCAAACTAAATAGCCTTATGTTATTTATCATATTTACACGACTGCATGTCACTTCAGTCTCTACGTTATGGTCGCGCTCTCTGCATCACACACAGCGGAGTTCTGCCCGATGAGCGAGCTCACACACACACACACACACACACACAAGTGAGCCCACTCCCACTAGTATTTGTAAATATTAAGCCGCAAAACGATTCATATTTAAATATGAATTCTGCGTGTCTCTGTGTTAATGAATGGCGCAGACGCGCGGTTTTGTGTAGTACTCGTACTAAAACGCCTGTGATGCTTCCGGTGATATTAACCTCTGCCGTCTCACTAATGAAGACATAAATACATGAACAACATCTCCAGAACTGCTCTGAGAGTCACTTCATCAGCATTTGACCGTTTCATTTCAGTAAAACTATCATCATGTCATACACACACAGAAATGTAAAGGTATTCACGGCAACCCGTCAAAATAAAAGTTCGGTTTAACTTGAGGGCATTGGCTATTACTCACATATTACTACTGTTGAGTAGAATGTACTCATAGGGCCCTAAACACGTAATATTTGTTAAACTTTTAATAAATTGATGTTAAATTGCTTATGTTTCATGATTTTAATTAATTAGACATGCTTTTTGATTAATAAACCGTAAACCTAGGGGAAACACTGCTGTGTGTAGCACCTACTGCTCTGCACACCCGTTTGAAGGATCCCAGCATTAGAACAGAATGCCTGACATTTTATTTTGAACAATGTTGCTGTTTAAAGATTAATTTTTTGGCATGTTTAACATTTATTTGGATAGGACATTTCATTAACAGGAAGCGAAGTGGGAAAGAGAGAGGGGGGCGGGATCGGGAAAGGTTCACAAGCCAGGACTCGAACTCGGGACTCTATATGTCAGCACACTGCCACGAGGCTATCGGCGCCAACAACAATGTTGCTGCTTAACCCTCCTGTTGCATTTGGGTCAGTTTTGAATCAGAAGGGGTGCGTCAGCAGAAAAGTGTCTTTGTTACACATTATATGTACTTGCTATAATAATAAAATTGAGTTATGCATTACACTGAACAAAATTATAAACGCAACACTTTTGTTTTTGCCCCCATTTTTCATGAGCTGAACTCAAAGATTTAAGACTTTTTCTATGTACACAAAAGGCCTATTTCTCTCAAATATTGTTTACAAATCTGTCTAAATCTGCGTTAGTGAGCACTTCTCCTTTGCCGAGATAATCCATCCACCTCACAGGTGAAATTTTGTTCAGTGTACAAGCAACTACCTCAAGGGCAACTTAAAATAGTGTTTCAGAAAAAAAATCCCCAAAATGTAAAGTTTTAGAATAGAAAAAAACATTAATAATGTGTCAAGACTATCATTTATTTAACAAAACTGGTGTCGTAATAACATGGTAATATCACAAATTTAAAAAACATTAAAATCTTTGCACATTCAAATTTCGTTGCGAAATTAATAATCAGATACAATAAGGTTTTAAATATAAATTTAAAAAGCAGGTCATGTGGTATTTTAAAGTGTCCTAATATTGTGTTGGAGTCCCTTACAACAGGTTTAAATGCATCTAAGGTCAGAAAACATTGTAATTTTCTCAGAATATACATTTAATATTAGAGTCATTTGCCAATGATTTTGAAACGATTCGTTCCAAGCTAGTTCGGAGCAAACCCCTCCCTTCCATAAGCCTACTCTACTCTGATTGGTCAGCTGGCCAAGCCTGTTGTGATTGGCACAGAGAGGAGTCCTTGAGCAAGTTAGCGAGCGCTACCATTGACAAAGCACCTTTACATAACAATAATACAGTGCTCCAAACTGTTCTTATAATAATGTCATAAAATACAAAAACACTTATGCAAGTGAATCGTGACCACAGCTAAAGTTTAGCTGCTAAACTGTGAACACTTAAAACAAT